ATGTTTACTTTTTGTTAATTGATAACGTAGAAAAGATAATATTGGAGTAGATCTGAGAATTTCACAACATCAAAATTAAATGATTTATTTTCTACAAACATAACAATTTTTTATGTCTTTTATCACATGACTTCATTGATGTTATCGACCATAATTGTACAGATTACACATTTACACATTGTTGATGCTACTACTCGAAATGAAGACCCTTGAACTTTAGAACCAATATTTTTTATCAAAGTGAAGTACATAGCTTAAATTTACTCTCATTAACTAGCAATAAATTGCGTCGAAGAAATTATCCCTAATCACCGTACATAAAATTTCTTGTTACCAGAATTCGAAAGATTCACTTCCGAGTTCGTTTTACAGCTCGGCAGAAGAGGACAGGCTGGACGGATCCGGAAGTTTAGATTATACGGATGGGGATCTCACGGCTACGTCGTCGTTACACGATCAGAGTGGTCCTGGCGAGGGTAGATCAACTGGGAGAAGAAAAGGCGAGCCGAGGGACGATAACATGCCGCTGTCGAACGAAGAGATGCCCGACCATTACATATATGTGACCTATCCAGCTGAGCTAAAGCAGCGATTACTGGACAGGTAAGTGAAACGGGTGGAAGAGGAGGTAATGGAATGCCCGTATCGAAATCATAGTGATCATCCTGATTGCAGCTGCTACAACAGAACTACTCGAATCTAAAGCCGAAGAGATTGGGCAGAGATTCGGTCGAAGGTATGAGAGCAGCTCGACCGATTACACGCGTCAGCTTTACCATGGCTGATCACCATCTTTCTTATTTTTTCTCCTCCCCCTAATCTTCGTGTTTTGTATACCAATTGTGGAAATAAATCACAAGCTGTACACGAGAACACCGATATTTGTTGATTTCGTTCTAATTCCTCTTTTAAACAAACAATCCGATAAGTTAGATACATAAACTTGACACTTCAGATAAGTTCCCGGTTTCGTGGAAATTACTTCGAATCAGTTTCTACTTTTGAAAGTAATATCGTAAAGGGATAAAAGATAAAGAAAGACTGAGGAAGTTTCGATAATTTTGATTTTATTTCGATGCTCAATGCTCGATTCAAATCTAAAACCAGTAAGTCATTTTGATGGATCCGTCAGAATCCCGTTGAGTGTCCATCACGCTGGACTGACGGACCAGTCGACGCACGCTCCCGCTGGTCGGCCTCTGTTGGTCCTCCAGCAGCCTTGCAGGAATCGGTGCCTCTGGTACTTCGTGCATCTCTACCGTCTCCCTAGCCGATAGATCCTCGTACGAACCCGCAGCTGACGAAGGTCTATAACCAAAGATAACAATGGATGGAATTGTTGGATAAGAATTTTTAATTCCTTTAACCCATTCTCGATTTCGCATACTTAATCGGAACGCAACGAAAGCAATCGGCACAAGTCCAATCCTTCCCAAATAGCTCCCCCTCCTCAACGGTCTGTGGTAATCGATGATGCAGCGTCTCGGGTAAACGTAAGCCAGACAATCCACCGATTACGGACACGCATCCGAGAATAACGAGGGGCAGTACTAAATTCTCTTTACCCTAGACGATATGACACAAATTTATTCGCTACGAATGACGTGTCCGTATGAAAAATGCAGTCGCTCATGATAAACATATTTACGATTACTTACGAGATAAGTAACAAAAGGAATGATGATAAGTCCGAGACCACTGATGTAAGCAGAAAAACCAATGGCTACGCCGCGCAGTTGCGTGGGGTAAAGTTCACCGGCGAACGGATATATTATTAGAAAGGAGGCCGATATCGCGGATTTTGATAAGAGAAATAGAATTAGTGTGGCCACTACTGCATCTGTAAAAAGATGGGAGGATTACAGTCGATACATTTATTTCTAAAATCTACTGTTACTTTGTTGTTGCATTTATTAAAAAGATTTATCAATCATTTATTGGTTGCATTCATTGTTCGCTCATATAAGATGTAGTACCCGATGAGAGAAGGACTGTAGCAATGCACGAGATACCCGCGACTACCATGCACAGGCAAAGGGGCCAACGACGACCCCATCGATCCATCACGACCCAACATGCCATGTAACTTGGAATTTCAGCAAAAGATGAGAAAAAAAAGCTCAAGTGTTCCTCATTACCCAACGCAGGTCCGTAGTACGACAGACCGACGTATACCATGTTATTGGCGAACCTAAATAAGAACGATACTAGTTGAACGCTTGAAACGATTATTTCGCAATTCGTTATTTACTTGTATGAAATGACAAGTAAAGAAGAATAAGAAAGAAAATAATACTCAAGTTAAGATTACAGTCAGAATGCGTCAAAACATTCCTTATCGCACTTATCTTCATGTATTATGTGCGATGAATGTACAGAAATGTCTTAGCGTTGCTATCAACGTTTGTTGAAACGTTTAATACCTCAAGCAAAAAATAGGCGTGGCGGCGTTTTATCAGGCGGCATTACGTAGCTGAATATTTCATTTACCAGTTCAGTGTAATCAGACACGTTTTCAAACGCATGTTGGGTGTTTTGAACAAGGACAGAACACCGGGACCGCTGCGTAATCGCTCCTCTTCACTTTTGGACCGTGACATTGTCATTCGTTGTCGCAGCTTTTGGGTGAAAGATGCTGGTAGTTCTTTACCATTCACCTTCGCCAATCTCTCCAGAATATCGTTCGCCTCCCTCAATCGACCTTTAGCCAGTAACCACCTCGGTGACTCTGGCAGAAACCTGGAATGATCTTAGACATTTTAGAACGAATGAAACGGCAATCGGGGCTAATGGAAAGTATAAGAAACGGATCAAAATCTCACCACCAGTACACAGAATATAAAAGAAAAGGGGCACTCGTAGTTAGAGCCAACGTTCTCCAATCTCTTATCAGATAAGTCACACCGGCCAGCATACACAGACCCATTGTGTAAAAACTGCATGTCAGCACCGTTACGAACGATCGATAATTTGGTCCAACCAGCTCCAAAGCTGTTTAAAGCGAACCAGGAGAAGAATTAAGTACGAATCGACATGTCTCTCTTATCTCTAATAGATCTATCTATTCACTCTTATTCAGAAATCTTACATATGATAAAGGGTATCTGATAAATGGCTGGAATGGTCAAACCGACGACCACTCTACAAGCGGCCCAGGTCCAAAAGCTATTCGATATCGACGTTAAGAATCCGCCGGTGATCAATGTTGCCAGGCACGTGAAGAAAGACAGTCTCCTACCAATTCTGTGCGATACCGAAGAAATTGGTAAAAGTAATCGTATTTGTGTTTCACGAATACGTGCAAATAATTTACTTTTACCTGTCGTTCAAGGTACCGAAAAGGTACACCCCTATCGGTCCTCCCGTGTTCAAAGCGACTAATCCGATCGTCGGATAAATCGCGTGGTCGCATACCAAATCGAACTGTAACGTTTAATGACATCCTAATTATCGATCGGATCAATCGATTTAATCAGATATTTTGATTGTAAGTGAACGTACATCGATAACAATAGAAGATGCTACTTCCGAGGTTTCGTACTCCCAACCATGATCGCATGGTATGACCGGCCACGATGCATTCGGTACGTACGAGGCCGTCGTCACAACAGAAATGTTCTCTGTCGTCCAATCGATATCGTATCGTGTGCATTGACTGTACGTTTCATTGTCATCCTAATTATGAATGCCATTGTTACGGTTATAACTCTAGTAGAACACTCTCGCCGAGGCAAGACGAGAGTGTACTTGCATCGCTCGCCTCCCCTCGTGTCGTTTTATTTCAAGTCGTCAGCGCTCGGTTTCGGATTGATCTTTTTAATACGAGGTGCGAGCGTGGCTCTTAATTTCGAGAACATCCACGTCCAAAAAGATTAATAATTTCGCGATTCGAGCCAAGACAAGGAAAGCAAGTAACACTCGACTCGGTAAGAGTCTCGCCGAATGTCTCAGTGAGAGCGCACTGCTCGTATAATAGTATGACCATAAACAAGTATTCTATGAAGAATAATATTCTAGCTATAGCGAAACAAATGTCTTCTATTTCTTCCATATATGCCCATAATCTTTAGGAGATGCGTAAAATACGAGGTTCTGGCTAGCTTTTTCGAGTGTACAGACGTATGGCAAGCAAAGAGTACTGATACGAAAATCAACGCGGACCTAACAAATTTCTTCTTCGGTTAGAGGAATTATTTAGTAATAATACTCAACGGGGATTAAGAATTACGAGGAACAAGCTCTCTCTAGTACTCTCACTAGCTTTTTTTATTAACTATTTAATTGCCAATTAATCCAGGTAGTAGGAATCTTTAACGCCTAGAACGATAATTGAACCTGAATGGTCGGAATCGCGAGTTTCCTTCTACGGAACATGTCCAAGCTCTCCAACCCCGGTACTTTGCACCAGTGAGGTGGTGTGTCCGCCATGAAGAGTTGATTAAAGGCGCAAAAACCGCACGGCAGACATGCCGGGAGGCACACGAACCAAAGTAAGTTCCTTTGATAACGACCAAACTCGCCGACGATCGGCAAAAGATCATCGAGATCGAAACCGTCCTACGATACGAAACTCTTATCTCTTAATCATAATTGACTTCTTCAATATAAAAAACAGGAAGTCATGTAACATGACAATTACAATACACGAGTGGAATAGTCTATTAATTAATTGATTCATTTCTGAACATTTCTGGTCGTTTGAACGAATAAAAAATAAAATGATTCCGTCCTGCCATTCAATTAAGTACTTGAGAATCGATAGATATTATGCATTATTGTTGAACATAGAGGAAGATATTTTTCTTTTATCAAAGTGCAACTGCAAGTAACTTACTTCATCGTCCGTAGCCGTCTTGCCGTTCGCTGGTCCAGCGGTACGATTCTCATTCTGGTACTCCATTTTGGTAAACTTTGTCCACGTCCAAGCTACCGAATCGTCGCCGATACCTTAGAAACGCGTTACGTGACGTGTATTAGCTCCCTTCCGATGGCAGTGCGACCGGCGTGCCATTCGTTCCATCTTGCTGCTGCCCTTTTTTTCCCTTTCACCCTCGCCGTACGATCGTGACACCGGAGGGTGGCCCTCCGAGATAGCCACCAGGTATCGGACAAAAGTATTTAGATAGCGCGTGCCAGCTCTCGCAGTAGATTTAGTGAGTTCTGGTAGAACACGAACCCAAAAAGGATTGGAACAGTTAGAATACTGAGGTCGGTCACTGCCGTTCAATCCACCGCTCGCTCAACATTTTTCACAAAACTTTCCCTTCTTCGACAACTGATTATTACTCTTCTCTCTCACCGAGATTACTCACTTATTACGCATCGTATAAAAGAAAAGAATAGGTATGTGTATATCGAAATGATCTGATGAATAAGAACTTATAAGGTGTTAATACGAATGCCAAAAAATATATCGAAATAAGAAGAGAGTGATAATGGTTTAATACTGTGCTTGTACTTTGTATTACTCGATGTGACGCAGGATGATTGAGTAGAGTTACTCCGGAATTTTTATGGCAAATACACCGATATTGTTCATCTCTCGGATATAGTACATTCAAGCACGAGCCACCCGACGTCTGTTTGCTCGCACGGAAGCAAATTGAGAGACAAGAGGGATAAATAGAACCCGTGCACGCACTCGCACAGCGCGTTTCACGTGCAGAAAGTGAATCGAGGAAATGCAGACGAAACGGCTTTAGTGGCGCGTGCCACGGGGTGTGCCCTTCTAATTCAATTGGGTTAAGGGTACTTAAAGGAGATTAGGAACACTGCTGACACATGCTGCGTGGCGGCCGCGATTCATTCTTCGAACACACCGCGTGACATTTTGCGTCACCTTCCCGTTTATGACCATTATCTCTTTGTCTATGGCCTCCAATTTATTCGTATCTTCGATCCAACTAGAACGAGCAATCTCCTTTTCGTTGCCTCTATTTTAATAAAGTTTTCCCACTGTTTTATAGAACGCGAGCTCGATGCCTTCTGCGTTTGACAGAATTAATTTGCCGAGAATTAATAGCATGGCATCTGTCAAATACGCTCTTGGTACTTTTTGTGCAATAACGTAGATTAGAAACTAATTCTTGGTATCAGGAGGCATACGGCTTCGTTTTTTTTATCCGGAGTAATCCAATTGATGAAGTAAAAGACCGTAAGAATACATAGTCAATTGTCCAAAGCTTTCAACCGTGTGTTCGGAGGGCATTTCGCACGCGAGTCTTTCGGTCGAGAAATCTTCCGCATTTTCGCCAGACAGATTATTCCTCGGCCGCTATGTATCGGAAGCGATGGGTCAAGGTGAATGATTATTAAGAAAAAAATGTGAGAAAGAGAAGCTCGATGCTGAAACGACGACTGGCAATCACTGCTTGTGTACAAATTCAAACTGAATTTTTTATTCTGGACAATCTCGTTTTGTCGGAAACAAGAAAGAAAATAAAGGAATAGTAAAAGAAATCAATGGAACAATTCGCATTACGTTAATCAAATTTTGTAGAATGAAATAATATTGTTGTTTCTTCGGTACGAGATGTTTTTTTTTTACCATACACAAAACGCAATTGTGATATTTTTCTTTCATACGATTGTTTCCACATTTTTTCACTTTTTCGATTTATTCTTTTTTGGATAATGAGAATTATCATGGTGTCAAGTCAAAATGATTTCTGCCGTTTTAATTAATTGTATGACACTGTCGCTTGGCGATTCGTATAGTCGTTTCTCGTACATGCACTGACGGAGTACGGTCAGTCACATTAATAATAAAGTGAAGAAAAAGCGAATCGAAGTCCTAGTACCAATGTCGCATTCGCGTACCTAAAATAACAGACGCGACGTAAGAAAATGCACGTGACATTTCTTTAGATTTTCTCTTAGACGATATTTGGATCATGCTTGTTTTTATAGATAATCGTCAGTTCTTTATTTCTCACTTTTTTTATTATAATAAATCGTTGATAGACCAACCATTAATGTGACCGACTATACTGCTACTTGAACACGTTTTCCAAAATAATCGATCCTCAATCATTCCACGATCGCTCTGACATTCAGATAAGCGATGTAGCCGATGCGTCACATATAGTCGTTGTCATTTAGATTTCACAGAATACAGGCTCCGCAGATCACACGACTGACTCAAACCGAAAAGACGCGGGAGATACGTAAATATCTCGCGCCATGGTGGACATGCCGCACCCTCTCCTATTCAGTGGTTTCTTACAATTAGTTTACAATTTTAAATAATTATTCGAAATTTCAGGAGGAACCAGGAAAAATAACGTCCCCGCCTGAATACGCAAAGTATCTGTAGTAAAATAAAATTTTACTGTGACTTTGATCTCGCAGTAAATTGAGCAACAGTTCTCTCGGTGTAATATCTTTTTAATTTAAAGACGACGAGAAGTATACGTCGAGTCATCGCAACAGCTTACCTACTAGACAGTGCCGAATCCAATTTTATACGCCGCAGTTCGACGTTCACGATGTACAGGATGAATTATTAATATGTATAGTAAGATCTTATGAATTTCTTAAATTTCTATAATTTACTTCCTGCTTTTTCGTCTCTTTTTATTTGCTTCTTTTGAGTTTTTCATTAGTGATGTGATCGATGAAAAATAGAGCTCTAGGAAACAAATTGGAGAGGGTGAGCAAATTACAGAATGGCAGGCTAGACATGATACAATCCAACTCGTGTTCTCGTTTATTCGTTTTCTCCTTTCTTTCTTTCTTTTACTTCAATCCAAGTTCACCCTTCGAATTATTCACATGCGTAAATTACGTATAATGTTTGGTCCGATCGTCGATCGGCAGCACTCGACAGCATTCTCTCCTTGCATATCGCCACAAGAATCTCAAATTTCATACGCTCGTTTTTTCTCTCCCCTTTTCTCCTCTCAATTCGTTTTTTTTTTGTATTTTTTATATTCAATTTTTTTTAATTTTCTTAATTTTCTAAATCACACAGAATGCACGGTAATGCGGTGCGCTTCTTTATCTTACAATTAGACCGCGATCGGTCGGAAATCGAATGAACAAAAATATCTGAAGATACGGATCAACCATGACAGACACACACAGGAAACTTCTAGGCAACGCACAATCGATCGATCCTCATTCTTTCCCCATTACCGTGCAATTTCTCTGACGCTTTGGAACAACAATAGCTTCTGCGCGCGTTGGCCTCGTGCTTCGCGACTCGATCGTTTTTAAAAAATATTATCGAAAATATTGTCCCGTACGTACAATGGCACCGCGGTTTGAATATCTAAGAACGGAGACTCTGTTCCATGTACACATGTATCCAGCGTCGCCGAAATCGACTCGAAAAATAATTTATCTGCGTGGTTTCATCTTCAACGTCTTCATCAATGCGTCTTCCTCAATATTGATTATCATTATTGTTTCTGTAAGAGTATTATTTGTTTGTATAGCTAAGTTGCAGAAAATTAGCGAAGCGCTAGGATAACGACCCGAGGACAGCGACAGTTCTCCGATCTTTAACCGCGTCGCGATACAAAATTTATATAACTTTTCTTTATTTTCATTCTTTGTTTCTCCTTCCCTTTTTTCTTCAATATTTTATTCATTTTATTTTACAAATCGACGCTTTGCCTCTTTCCGAACGTGATTCACGTCGAATCACGAGCCAACTCCTTTTAGCATCCCTCCATCATCGTTAACGATCCTCTCTCCACTTATATTCCTCTCGCTCGATCACTCTCTCCCTCTCAATTTTTCTCGTTTTCACAGTTCATTCGTTTCTCTGGTTACTTATTCTCCATTCGCAAGTAACACCCCGACAGGACACACCTCCATCAGTAAATAGCGATTTGCTTCACAGCGCACATCATCACTGATACAGCGTAATGCACACGCTCCTCATTTTCATTTATTTTTTCTTCTTTAAGAATCCTTATACTTAAATACGCTCTCACGTACGTTCCCTAGTAAAGCATCGCACGCACTCTAGGAGTCTCGACGATGAAAAGGCTAACAACTAATAGTTCGATCAAGACGTTATCGTGTATGAGTCTCTTGCCGTGAGCGTGACTCCGGCCGTGCTTCTCTCCAACGATCTTAGAAACTTGAAACACATTTATCAAAGGCATGTGCGCGTTAGGCTGTCTCATGTTTCGGAGCAGCGAAAATTCTTTCTTCTAAAACCGGTAAACGTAAAAAAAATAATAATAACAAAATTATGCTAAATAGCGGAGAGCGAAAAGTGGTACGCTCGAGATCATTCGTGGATCACTTCTCGATCTTGGAGGGTGGAACACAATTTGGCCCAGAGGCACGCCCCGTTCTAGGTAGAATCCATCGACTCCTCGCACACGAGAGTCTCTCCAAAAAATCACAGTCGCGTATATAATATAATTTGCTCCTTTTGTATTCCTCATTTATACATATCGTTACTCGTACTCCGATCACGGCACGGTCGGCGTTTCAGTTCGTACTTCTGCCCTTCATCCGCGGGTTCGACCACAACCGATTCATTATCTCCACGTCGGCTTTTCTTCCCATTTTTCCCTCAGATTTTCAAGCCAACCAGAACTGTTAATATGATTCGCAAAGATGACCGCGAAAATACCGGGATCGTACGATTCTTATTACGCTTCCTGGTACTTCGGACAAATAAAGATAATGCGATCATCAAGATCAAGGTCGATTGTTAATTACACGCGATCGATACGTGTGTCCGTTACACACACACACAATCTACTGCCAAAGTAGATGGCTAAATTTTTGTTACCACACGTTTTACTCGCCGAAAGGTTGAAAAGGGGATGTAGATATTTAAAAAGTATATACCGTGATGTTTTGTTTTAAACCTGACAATCAGTAAAAAGTTTTCGAAAATTTAGCCACCGATTTGAAGACAGTTCGTGGGCGCGTGAGCCTAGATTTGTTTGCGAATCAAAGGAACAGGCGAGCGATCGAGTTCTTTTTATCAAAAAGCGGAAAGACTTCGCCGTTCTCTCCGTCGTGGTTCCTTTTCCTTTCGCTCTCTTTCCTCGCATTCCACCTTTCGCATCCTCATCCTTTCCCTTTCTCTCCTGCTTCCACTCTTCTCACGCTCCTCTTTCTTACGTACTCTCTTTCCCTCTACTCTCTCTGCTACGTGGAATGTTAAAGAAAAACAGGATACACACACCTCGTGTCTCGGTGTTTTGCACGTTTCTTCTTTGGATACTTGGAATAATAAAAACATTTTGTTGTTCTCCTTTTGGGACTCATCAAGACGTCGACTTTGGTAGGCTCAACGACGGCAGCCGTCACCGAGGAAACTAAGATCAAGCTTGTGTTTACGTAGGAGGTGATGAAGTTTTCGCGATTGGAAGACACCGCGTTTCGTCAGCGAGAATAACTCCTTTTTACCACGAAATCGGAAGGATCCACCGCGAGATAAAACAATCTGTATGTATGTGGACAGGTGTATTTATGTGTAGGGATGTGTATCGCAAAGAGATCAAGGTTTAGGCTCCAGTCTATGTAACGAGCAGCTCACCGAAACAATTTTCTTAACCCGTTTTCTTTCTCTTCTTGCTTCGTTATTCTTCTTTTGTATTCATTTTTCTCTTTAAAGCTAGATAGACATTATCTCTTCCTTAAATGCTAAGTTTGGCAATATCGTTCGCAACAGTAAAAAAATTATATACGTATATATATTTATTATTATTTTTTTTTATATCCAGACATGGAGCAGACACATTGGTTTCCCACGATATGTAAAATCGTAAAAAAGATAATCAATTTAATAAAAAGTCTTAGTCTATAATCGTTCTTCATCAATTCCCTATTTATCCCCTTTGCGTTTCCTCTTCGCACGTTAATCTTTTGTTTTTCTTTTGTCTAAATGTGTTTGCTTGTATGTCATGTTTGATGTAAACACGTTCACACTGTTCGTGATGATTCCTCAACGAGTAAACCACCCCCAAACTAAGTTTCGATGCGAATCTCGCCGCGATCTACCGATAATGTTCGTTTCCCTCTCTATTCGTTATCGTGTCTCTATATAAAGCTTTGCGTAAACAAGGCGTTCACAGAAAAAGGTATGAGTTAGTTAAAGATGAAAACGCTACAAAAAAAATATAGTCGAACATTACGAAAAGAGGGTCACACAGTGTGCTTCCGCTGGCAAAAGTATTTGGAATGCAATGGCACTAGCACAGCCACATTTCAACCACGTGACGTAACTTCGTATTATATTATTAGAGCGACCGACCGTCCGCTTTATCTTCCGTGTATAAAATCTTACTAAATACCGTATCCGTACGCGAGACATCTAAAAAAGTTTGAGCTATGAAAATTTGCGAGGCTGAGACAATATCTACATAAAGAAATGAAATAATATAAAGTTATCCTATGATTTGATTCACATATAAATATATATGCATGCACTGCCTCAGTCGTCTTAGGATTCAAACAGTACGTGTAACAGAGGATATTGATGCGTGTGTAAAAAATAAAACAAAAAGTACTGGAAACTGCTAATCCTTGCGCGGTCAGGTACTTGAAATATCCCAGTTCAACGTCTAACTTCTTGCTTCAACAGTCTTATCTATCCACGTGTATAACTAATTTGATTTTAACGTTGAGCAGTATACAAGGTAATTTACTCGATAGATAAGAAAGATAAGTTTGCTTGATTACATGACGCTGGGTTATATCAATCACCTAGTTTTGAATCACCTGCAATTTCTTAAGCGACCACAGCATTCGTTTTTCCAACTCATACCGGAATAAAACGTATGGATAAAAATCAGTAACACCGTCATTTTCTTTTTCTTCACTTGATCGTGGGTAACTGTCTTCCCACAACGAAGCGAGGCTAGGAAGACAAATTGTTGTTCTTTGACAAACGCTCTCGAAAGGAAGAAACATACGTATCGTTATTTCAATGTTAGTGGCAGTGCGAAAAGCTCTCGTTCGATATTTCATTCTATCATTTTCGAAATATCCAAATGAACGATACTGCGGTCGCATAAAATTGATCAATGTTTAAGCGCAAGATTACATTTCTATTATAATAAAGTATTTCTAAATTGTATACTCGATCGCGGTTTAGTCTTCTTCGTTTCTTCTTTTCTTATTAGAACGCTCAGGCCGGACGAGGATTTCGGTACAACTCAATAACTTATGCCAGCAAAATATTAGTTTTAATGAGTCAACAGCAACAGACATTCACATACGGGAAGAAAGGAACATACACATCATCATCATCATAATCATCATCATCATGCTACAACTGATCGTTTAAATTTTTGCACAGGACGATCGGATCAGGGTCACCAAGTATTTCGAATCCATCAAGTAATTCGTAATTTTTAATTTCAATTTTATTCTCTTTGAAGGAATCATTCAGTATCTCTAACACTCCTCGCACTCATTCGCTCTTATCTATTTCTCTTTCTCCTCCGACTGTATTCTCACTCACGCATCAACACTTCGCTGCATCGAGATAGTAACCAGCACTCTATCGACCATTTATTTCGTCCACTAACTTCAGACCACGTCAACAACAACAACCAACAATCATTCGATGATGCCGCGATTGCTTCGAACGAGCAAATAGGTAGTGTTTTGATCGCTCAACAGGAAATTGGAAACAGACCGCGTGGCTTCGTTAACAAAGCTAGGGGAGGATAAAAAGCTAGTAGCTTTACAACGATTTGCGCATAATTGAACTTTCTCAACGATCCATTAGATAGCGAAACGTTTTATTTAGTAAATATTGGATCTTACACGCATACATATTAAGAAAAACCATTCTTACGTTCAATTATTAGAGCACACTCTACATCTTTCACAGCTCTACAGTCTCGCTCTCTCTCTCGTTTGGTCTCTCTGTATGTTTTCTTCAACGCTTTCAGAAATCCCTTGCACACTCTCTCTTCCTCTCTCACTCGCATTTTCCCATTTTCTCCCTCTCGCTAGCCACAATCACTGTCCATGGAAGTCGTCCTTTTCTCAGGTTCAAATTCTCAAGCACGCGACCCAGGCTTGTTATCAGGCATACTTGCATCATCGGAACTTGCATCTCGGCAGGCTTCGAACTTCAGGCTCACTCATCGGTAACATCCACTTGCACTCCTTATCATCCGTTGTCAGCAGACATCCGGCAGACAGGTATTTTATTTTCTCGACCTTTTGGGGCTGCGCTCGACGTGTCGGTACTCGAATACCGTCGTTAGAGCAGGGACACGTGCAGACTCATCACCCCTTCATCGTCATCATCGCTTCGGAACTCACGCACATCCATCAACTCGCATCCGCACCATCCAATCTTGTTGTCTTTGTATTGTGTTCGATAGCTTTCTAGTTAAATCAAATTGCACGACAGTACAACCGTGGGTGATCTGTAAACAACAAAAGCGAGCCAAATATCAATAACCGTTGTTCACCGATCGATATGTGTGTACATATGCATATTTTTTCGCGGCTTATTTTAACCATTTTTATTAGCGTTTAATTTATTTCTTTATGAAACGGATTTCTTTGTTGAATCATGTGTCTATCCGTGGGACAACACTGAGACTGAAAGGACCATAAGCAACAACGACAAAACGAAACTGTATTATGTCCTGTTGCACCTTTGGTTCTTTGACACTTTATGTACACATTCGTGCTTCTTCTTTCTTAGTGTGTCCTAACCAGGTATCATTAAAAATCGTTCGTGGAGAAAGTAACTATCTTTTTTAGTAATACGTTACAGTAGGCAAAATGGAAAAGGACGTGGCGGATGATACGAAGGGAACAGCGAAATGGATGATAAGTGATAACGGATAACAGGTGATCGAATATACACGCATCACACACCGTTCATATAAAAAAGGTAAAAAATAAGAAAATATGATAAGAAAAGGTTAATGAAATACAGTGAAAGATTACTCACCAACTAGATGTGGAATTGACAGGATTTTTGAGCTTCCGAATCTCTTTACTCGTCCAATTTGCCAGTGTTTTGGTCTTTTCGCTGCGTGATCGTCTAGCTTTTACCAAGAACTCCGTGAGCGGTTCAGTTTCAACCATTGGCAATAGCTTCGCTCCGAACACAGTGACCAAATCACCAAGCAAGCCCACCGAAGCTGAAATGTTGCCTTCGGAGTGTTCGCGATCCTGCGCTATCGACGTAATGAACTGGATGATGAAGGGCACGTGTGGTTCCACTAGGGCGATCGCAGCGTCCGGACAAGTTGTCGACATTTCACCGCGCAGTCCTTGCACTATTCCAGTGTAAGCTTCAAGGACACCTTCGCGAAGCTCATTCAGGTAATCGATCATATCATAATCGCTTCTGTCCACGTTCGCCTGGGATGCTTGAGCCAACGTTTGCAATACCACGTCCAAGTATTTTTTGAATTCCGGACCTATACTTAGAGCAACATCGCCGAAAACGGAGAATATCTGAGGTTTTACGGAACGATGAACCGTATTATTGCCAAGATTCTCCAGCAACAGAGTCATGATTTCGTCGCAGTATGGTAATATCTTGCTCTTCAAAGACCGACAAATGTCGCCCGTCAGGCCAACAGCAGCGCAGCATACTTGATATTCTGCGTGATTCTTTAAACCGAGGCAGAGATACGGCTTGAACGCGTCCATGTATTTCAGGAAACCTTCTCCAAGCACTTCGACCAGAGTCGAGACTGCCATAAGAGCATCTTCTTGTACACCCTCGGCTTTGCAAGAATTCGAGTTGAACATGGATAATAACGCAGTCATAATCACGTCAGAAATTTGCGGAGCATCCTCCGGTGTAACTTTACGCAGCACGGATTGCAAGGTGGCGCACAACAGCGATTGCAAATCGTTGTACTGTGCACGATCCGTGTGAGTTTGGATGTGGTTCTCCATTTGCAGTACCTGCTGCAATCTCTCTAGGATCACCATCGTCGTCTTCTGCACTGTTATGTAACAGTCTTGAGGAGAATTCTTCACCATGTCCATCAGTGCTTCGTAAGCGGCGGATCTTAAGTTAGCTTGAGCTCCGTCTGGCCGATCAGTTGTCTCCAACAATCTTTGAATAATGAAATCGAAATACTGGGACATGCAATACGTTTCCGGATTCTGTCCCTCGATAGCTTCTGCAGATTCGTAACTGGCTTCTGCAAGACCCGTGAAAGCCCAACAGACGTTCGCTGCTACTCGCGGCTCTGCCTTTAAACCATTTATCAAAGCTTCAAGCAGTGGTTTCAAGTAAGTATCGTTGATAGCTGCTTCCGGTATAATTTCACAAATGCGGCCGAACATCCACGCTGCTGTATCCCTTACCGCGACACTGCCATCGTACATTAACTCGATAAGCGTTGGCATTGCTTGTTCCACCAATGGTTTCAAAGTATTGTGATCGACGCCTCCGAGAATCGAACCAAAAGCCATCAGAGCTGCGTCTCGATACCTCCAATCCGGACTCTTGATATTTTCCATGACAAATGGAAGAACATACGGGACGATGGCTTCGTCGCAGCAAGAAGACAATAACATTAAACACACTCCGGCTGCTTTTGATGGGTTCCAATCGTCTTCATCGTCGAATTCTTCTTGTTTAGTTAGCTTCTTCATCAATACAGGTACTAAGTATTGTAAAGCGCCTTTCGCGTAATGCCTTGACACTTTGACTGGCGGTCGGCCACCGTCGGTGGCTTCACCCTCTTCCATAGCTAAATCTACCTCCTCGTCGGAAACGTTCGACCAGAATTCAATTCCTTGCAGTGCAACTTCATCGATATCTGATTTCATAGCTTCTAAAGTAATAGGAAAGAGTGCTGGAGCCATGTAAGGTTCCATGTACTGATAATACAAAGACATAATTTTCACGAGACACTGTAACGCTGCTACTTTGACTTGCGTGTTTAAAGACTGCGTCGCTTCACACACCACCTCCATGATGAAGTTTCTCTCCGTCTGTATACAGAAGCGACAGAATTAAATAAGTGATTCTATCCACATTGCGAATATATCTGTAAGCTATTTTAAAAACTGTACTAACCTCTATCTCGAAATTTCCTTTGGTGAATTCTAATGAATTATAGAGTGCACTTGTAGCCGCGAGACGAACATGATGCAGTGTACTAGAGCCTTTCATACCATGGATGATAGCAGTGAGGATTTGATTTGACTGAGGTACCAGAACGTCACTTTCTATATCTTGACAAATATAACCAATAGCTTCCAGGGTAGCTTCTTTCATCATCTCTGTACTGTTTGGATTTACAACATTATTAACTAACAGCTGAATAACATTAGTCCATTGACCAACAGGTAATTCAGCAACTGCTACAGATGCAACACACTGTGCTGCAGAACTCGGCCTGTTGTTCTCTGTTCCAAGTGCCCCAAAAATCTAATAATGGACAAGTGCAAAGTCAGCACGCTTCTATTCAAGAAACGAATTAGTAACGAACGTGTAAATAAATAAGTCCTTACATTCTTCTTAATAAATTCCCTGGTTTCTACAGGAATAGCAAGCCATCGTTGTTGATATTGATATTTCAATTGTGTATCTTTGGATGTAAGTTGATTTTTCAGCTGAAGACCAGCTGCCATACGGGCAACTGGACTTGCAGTGGCAGTAACCAGCACGCCGCTGAGTCTTTGCATGAATTCAGGCTAAGGAAAATATAACAAAACTGTATAGTCTTAATAGTCCTTACAATTGTTACAACTACTTTTTTCTGAAAACAATTAACTTACCAAATTAGTCTGAGCTGCTTGCTCCAAGAATTCTTGAGCTGCCTCCAACTCATTTTTATCTGAAATTGTAAACGAAGATAAGAGTAACTGATATTCTATAAATTCTTTTATATCTTATCTGGTTAATTAATTACGAAGATTATGTAGATCCTTGGAACTATCATAGAGGTTAGAAAAACAGGATGTACTTGTGACTCTCACTATGGCACAATCAACGAGAACATGCGATACGAATAACCGTCACATGGGACAATACTTATGCTGCCGCGAACAAAGCCCTTAGCAACAGCCAAACGGAGCACAATACGACGTATTATCGTAGAAACAGCGGATTGAGATTAAATGCTAACGTACCGATGCCGAACGATTCTCGACAGCTCTAAGAAAATATCACCCAACAATAATACCAAGTACTCCGTAAATACACCGGAAGGACTAGAAAAAGGACGCGCACGCGGCGGGACTTCACTTTCGCAGGCAAGGTCGCGAAAGGGTCAAGGATTCGTCAAAAGGAGCGATCTCGTAGGTATTATAGAACAACATCGGTACCGAGGTCAAGGGGAGACCAATTAACCGAGAAAAATTAGTCTGAATTCCATGATGTCGGCAACAACCAATCTGAAGGAGAACGATTAATCAAAACGGCTTACCAGAGGAGACGGTCTTCTCTAGAATCTGGATAAGCTGTACCGTTGTCGGATCCATCTGCATGATTTCGGCTTCCTTCGAATATCGATTAACGTCGGGAAACGTAACTTCTTATGCCTCGATAGGAAATGTCTCGTTCTCGCGACCGGCGGACAGCCACATGTAGCCACCACCGAATCAACTAGCTCAACGACGTACCCCCTTCTACCCACTTCCTGCCAGTACTCGATTTCTGCTTCCTTCCACAACGTGCGGCGTAGTGATATTCTCGCGCCTATCTACGTACAGGACGAACCACCGGATCGTTAAACACCGGTAGGTGGTAGTACACGCGACGTTTAATCCCCTTAAAGTCTCTCGGAAACGTTGCAACACTACTGTCACGAGTGTCACGTTTCTCGAAACGATCGTCGTATCTCCGTTGAGCGCGGACTATTTTCTTTGTGTGCCGTGCGAAATTTATTTTGCGCACGCGTACATGCCTGCAGCGGCGACATCTGCGACTGCTAACAGCGCTTCCACGCACGCGTGTTCACCGCGACCGTTATGCCGGTGAATTTTGAAATTTTGCACGTATGCAGCTGCAGTCTACACGTCGCCGCGTGAACTCCTGTTACATTATCGTACGCGCTCACCGATTCGCAGCGTTCTACAACCGAATAAATAATAAGGATAAATTATAAGAATTCATATAATTTTACTACTATTGTAGATTAATCATTTTTACAATAAATAAATGTTCAAAACAAAGTTGTTCGTAACAAACGATGAAATAATTCTTAAAATAGTTTATTAGAGTTTCATTTTTTTACGAACTTTATTTTCGACAATCGTTTTTCTTCAGAAAGCGAAGAATGCGGTAACTTCGCACATAGATGTTAGAACTTAAAACGGAATGTAAGGACTTCAGGTTCCAGGACTGGTCCGCTAAGATGCCAGGTGCGCTTTATGCATAATCACAAGACCCTCGGCAGCCGCCGGGCTTCCTATTGACAATCGTTCGAATACCTGTTTCCTCGCTTAGGAAAGAAAAGGTCGACATTACTGCTGTCAAAACGTCGCACCGGGCCAGAGATACCGAAGCGAAGAAAAAGAGGCGTCGATTATTTTAATAGATTTAATGAAACGATATACAGAATACATTTGCTTTCGTAATGCATCGCAACGCATCGTCCGCGTGCCTTACCATCTATATCACATGTCAATTTTTCTTTTATTTATAAAATATAATGTGGTCATAATGTGTTTTTGTTTTTTCACGTCATGCCTTTAAATTGCTTCTCGTTCGCATATCGAAAGTATATATTATATATAATATATTCATTTCTTTATTTATAATTATATTAATTCATTATATTTATATATTTATAAGTACGTATATGTATATATAATAATTTTATATATTATATCATTTTTTACTTTATCGTATATATTAAACAAGCCAGAGGGAATTGTGTGTGTGGCTCGACCACGGTCATATACAACCGTGGGCTCGACACAGAATTACAGTGAACCAGGCCGCGGAAAGGTTTCTTAATGTGCGCGCATGTAAAACACCTTTAATTGGAATACTTTACAAATTGCTAATAGAATGTAGTAGTTGAATGTGTTAACGCGCTGGTAGATATCGACGGTCGTAGGGGTGAAAAGGCCGGTGATCGGGAAACTTTCCTTGCAATTCCGTTTATTGTCATTGTGAACAAATTGCAAGGAGAACACAGATTGTACTCGATTAAATTATCAGCGAACTATCGACCGATTTCAATAATTCGCACCTCCTTTTCAATTGTACGGCCGTCAATACGTATTGGCATTATCGATCGGCATCGTTTTCTTCCCTTTAAGTACTTCTATTCGCGTTTCGATCACAAAAACCATTTAGATCCTCTTGATTTTCAATTCTCTCTAACTCTAGTCGATATAACCGACAGTGACCTGTATAAATTTACTTTCGGTACAACGTCTAGCATGTTCGGTGTGTGCTTCGTAATCGTGCAACTGGTATACGTATACTAACTACATCAACTGTATCCACAAGTATTCGTATGGCAGAGTACGGATCGATCGCAGTAGAAATGTCCGTACGAAAACGAGGGTCTGCCACTTAGTTTCAAACGTTATGTCCTTTTCTGTTTGATTTTGCTTTCGTCTCTTGTCTTGGCGATTTTTAAGGAAGGGATACGGTACGACAACATCCAGTGGCGGCAATGTTATTATCTTATTAATAGTTTGGACGGAAAGGGAACGAGTTTCAATTTCAAACTCCGTACCGACGCTCATGGAGAATTGAACGTACCACATTGCAACATTCAATTTTATTTTTCCAAAAAAATAATAAATGATCGAATTGAAAACAAAAAATGAAATTATCCGTTGATTGAACATTTATTGTTACATCGAGGGAAAAGGATGAAGTACACCTAACGTAGTATTCGTTATTCATCTTTACAATAATGACAATCAATCAATTTGTTAACAACAGTACTTCGGACGATCCCGTTCTTCATTCGCGATATTTCTACGTTCGAACGATCCGAGATTCCACTCTACCTGTTCATCCTGCTTCGTTCTTGTATCACTGTTGTCTTTTTTTCACCTAGAATTTTCTTAACTCGTATTTTCTCTATCTTTCTTTATTCGACACCCTCTACCCTGAATCGGGCAGTGCGCGTGTGCAAATTACATATAGTAGCATCGTAAAAAACAATACAACGCTAAACTGGCGTTGAATCCAGGAAAGATCTGCTGGAATCGTAACCGGAATACGTCAATCACGAGTTAAATTGTTTCCACTCCAATAGGGGATTAGAAACCGGTCGCAACGCTCCTTTCAATTTCCTTAAGTAATAGGAACAAAAGTATCCTTCCCCTCGTCCGTATCTTTAGCAGCAAATAAGAGATGTAAGAACTTATAAATTCTTATAATGCTCGTTAGTAACAATTAGTCTAATAGCACCGTTTAATTTGACGAATCCCTTTCAGCCTCTAAATCTCTCCTGGACTCGATGCATTTTGTACACACGTGAAAAACAAACGGTTTTCCCACGTCACATAATTTAATTATATTAACATTGTTAGAACAGCGATAACTGCTCCTTCATAGAAAAATTCTTTCTTTTTTATATCTGGTCGAATTATTTGTACGCGTTAAGGGAATTGAAAACCATTCGTTTTTGCCACCTTATTCTATTTTCTCTATCCAGAAAATAACGCATATACGTTGCGTTCTCTTTTCGGATACTTGTACCTTGCTTTCTTGCCGGGCATGTTTTGTTCTCGTTTCACCTGCGATCGTATCCATCCGCAAACGTTTCCACACACGCGACCAATGCCAATGAGATGCGTTTACACGAAGAAAAGTGTTGTCGCTCGCGAAGGAACTTAAACTTACGAGCTTGTTTCGTTAAAAAATTAAAAATCACGATCTGCTCAAACGCCGTTGAATGGAGCTCGACGTTCAATTACCCTTTTCTTCGTGTATTCTTTCACAACGAGAGATCGCTAAATGGAAAGCTCTTGCATAAGCGATTAGCAATCAGTGCCTAACTCTAACGCAAGAAAGACAGTACCGAATAGTAAGTGAGATGAAATAAAAACACTGGGAAAGTAAAGAATTTACTTAAGTACGAAACTCGATTTTCCAAAAGAATCATGACTGCGCAGAGATCGAAACGGAAGGAAAAATCTATTTCCTTACCAAGCGTCGAACATTTGCGGATACACGATTAGAGAATAACGTATACACACGTAGTTACTTTTATACCTATTGTGCACATACATGTATTATTATTATTATTATTATTATTTTTTTTAATCGTGATTTTTGCCTCTTCACAAAGTTAAGTAAGGGAACGCGCCTTTATCAGATTAGGTGTACTAAATATCGCGCACTAGAAACGCTGCGTCGGTTGGATCGGTTTACTGGACTATACTCTTACATTGACAGCTAATATACACGAAAAAAGAGGAAGGTATTATTGCCGAGCGGTTAAAGGTACATCGATTCGACTGACAATGAGATCGACGATTTCTTGGCGAGAATCGTCTCCAAGATGAATCGAAGATCATTGGGTTTCCTTGAATTGTGCGACACTGCAATCCAGGGTTGATAATATGTATCTCTAGATTCGTGGGGAGGGACTGGTGGATGGGGGGAGGGGAAGGGGGATAGGGGCGATCCCAGGTGATGTATTGCAGTGGCAAAGAGTGCTTAACGTCGACGGTGTTTCTTACGTATTTAGCAAGTAATGGTAACACAAGATGGTTGTAAGATGGTAGCGGATGGTAACAGCGGTAGTAGCAACAATAACGCCATAATATCGTAACGCTAGCGGTAAGTAGTAGTTGAGTAATAAAGTAGTAAGTAGCAAGTAATTGTATAAGTAGCGGCGCGATATACGTATAAATAGGACTTTCTACGTTAGTTTGATTAAAAATAAATGTCATAAAGTAATAGGTAACTTTATCTCGGACCCGTAACGAAGCCACTGCTGATCGAATGGCGAGTCAAAATTACAATGCACCCGTGCTGTTCCCTTAATCATTTACCTTTGTCACACAGCTGATCGGCTACGTCCGGGTCCTATTTCAATCTTCTTCTCCCTTAGCTGTCTAAAATCACATTAACGCAAGAATAGTGGTAATTATTTGGGGCCGGTCGGGCCCCCATCCCGTGACTTGGAAGACACTCACACGTTTTCAATGATACTAAATTCCCATGCGATCGAGGATCAGGTAGGGAGGACAGATCACCGATTAGCGTCGGACAGGCGAAACTGGCAAGCTAAGGGACACGAGGTGTTCCGAACGAATACGAACACAGGAAATTGAGTAGTCGGGAAACAGAGAATTCTACTAATAATTCTCTTTAGCATCATCGCGACGTTCGAGTGTGATCACAGTCACGATTTAACGTACATCTAAACTGTCAACACGGAAGAGCGAAATTTATTCGGTATGAGGGAAATAATTGGGATAGGGAATATATAATACCTGTTAATTACAGCAACGTAACAGCGATATTTTCTACTTGATTCCGCTCTTCCGTCGTTGCTCTGATATGTTGCGAAACGTCGATGCTTCATTTTCTTTTCTCCGACGAATAGGTAAGTACGTTCCTTCACCGAAAGAGGAGGAGTTTGTTTCACCCCGTCTGGTGGATCATCGAGGACAATCGATGCAGTACGAGCGATGAAAAAAACGTAGTTTTTGTTCGTTGACGTAGCGACTTATATAAAGTAGGTAGAAAAGTGATAAAAATTCGTGTGTATGTGTAAATACGTATAATATAATACGCGTGTCAGTGTGTACGATATTTCTTCTTATTCTTTTTTCGTTTCCTTTGTGCACGTTTGCGAAAAATAGCGTAGCACTTAGTAGTATCAGCTAGCGATACCCTATGATCAACCTGCAACTTTTCGTCTGTCATCTATCACGTAGCGAAAATGCTCGTTCATCTCATCGCGAAGAGAGAAATCTATCGTTTGTTTCACTGCGTGCGTTTCACCGTTGTCCGTGACGATCCGCCAGGTAATACGGGTCCACTTCCGCTTACTTGGGCGTATGTACTTTCGATAGCAAGAATAGTTGTTACATCGTACAGTGTTAAAATAGTATTAGCAGTACTAAGTAGTAACAATAGTAACAGTTGTCAGGTCGGACGATTGCGTTCGCCCGCTGACACATCACAAATACACTCGTCTCACATCCATACACGCAGAGAGGGAACTTCGTCTTAAATTTAGAGTCGAACCGCATCTTCCGGCTCGTCTACTCGCGCGTGCATTCACTCCCAACATCCGCTGGCACGATACTCGATCGCATGCACTCACCTATTTCGCTAATACATCCAGACAACGACGAGTCAACCGGCCAGGATAAACAGATTCGAAAGGACACTTTGCTCACTTGTCCTCGTACGACTCGTGTTCGAACTCCTCCTCGAGCTGACTCTCGTGATAAAGGACAATCCACGCTCCCCGTCGAAACACTTGTATGAAAATCATGTGAGGCGACACGCAAGAAGATAATAAAACCTACTTATTACGTGTACAAAAAATAAGGAAACGTAATCGGATAGTAGACGCAACCGCACAAGATTTCGAGTGTGAATAAAATTGTTCTACGCGACAAAATATATTATTATACGTATAGCCTTAGGCTTGGCTTCGAGAAGGCGAATTAGAACGGTAGACTACCGACGAACATCGTCTCGATCATGGGCGGCGCCGGGACCAGGTCCTCCAGTTTTAGATAAAATATGCGCTGAAGCCCCTGCACCGACAGACTCCTCAGTTCCGGTAATTTACCTAACAATCGCGACAGGTAGTGCGCTTTCCTTTGCGCCTCGGCGTTATAGGTGACGTGATCACGAAGCGACGAAATTATTTTCGACTGCAGCTGCTCCATGCGATGAGGCTCCTTCAGGCCGTACCTTGCTGCAATATCGGGCAAAGAAACAAACGCGTTTTTTTCTTATCAATCACACTATCAGCCGTTTCAGACAGACATGAAGGGCAAAACGGATTCGTTACACCGTGGAAAATTACTGGATTTCTAGATTCGTCAGCTAGTACGATCGATATTGTTGCGTGCAATCGAATTTACTATTACGACGCCGCGACCGAACGAAAAGCAGCACGCACATGCAACGTCGCAGCGCGTTGATGCGACGACATATCGCGTGCAGCGGACATGAACAAACGCGGTTTTCTTTTCGTCGACATATCAATAACTAATCGGCCGCTCAATAAATAATTTATCTGGCAGATGGTCGTGCTTAATGGAGAGTCATCAAACGGACGAAACGAGAAATGAAGATAGATTGGAACGGACAAAGAAAGAAGTGAAAGAGAAAGATAGAAAAGTGAAACAAAATAGAGATGATACGGAAACTTACCAGTAACGAGGGTGAGAGCACACAGACAAGCGAAAGCACTAGTATCTACGTCGAGAATATGAAGAGCTTTGCTGAACTCGAGGATACTGTGGAGCCAATCGCCAAAGCTACGTTGACACTGTTCCATTGCCAGCACAACACCGTTGCAAAACGTTAGCTTGGTATCCTCCGGCTTCGTACGGTACGCCAATCGAAGAACAAAGAGTTCCAGGCTTGCTGACTGGAAAAGTAACTCCTACGAGGAGGAGATACCACGAAAAGACACGTTAAGCAACCGATTTGTGACACGTATAACGCGGGAATCATGTTAGAGATCGTTGCGAAGCCAAATTTTAGGCGGGATAACGTTATTTCGATAGTCTGGGTGGCTCGATGCTAGCAACTAGACAACCAGCCAATCAAACCGACGATTAGACACGTCGTGGACTCGTCAGATATGACCTTTTAGAAAATGTACAAGCTATCGATCTCTTTAATAACAGCTTCCCTTATAGATATTATCCTGACGTCGATACTCGTACATAGTTGCGTATAGCGACATGAATAGAGAAGTTAATGAGCGAACGTTATTAATGAGCAAGGAAAAATATCTACAAACCTGATCTTCCCGCACCAGATCCGTGAAACCAGGGATTTTATCGGCGAAAGTACGTATCACGTCGATGGACGTGGTCAGCAGGTTGTAGAACTGTTGAGTCTTCTCAGCCTCCGTAATCGGCGGATCGGCCGGATTCGGTTGTCGGTACTGAGAGTAATCCAATGTCGCTTGATCAGGCGTCGTGTCCAAATGTGCGCGTACCAAGGCTGTGATCAGGGAAACCGGTGAACTCGGTGGGGATTCTTGCGGTGACTTTGGCTTGGATGGTAGTCGACCTCTGCGACCCTTCAAGGAATCCGTCCTAACGACCTGTGAAACAAACAACACATTTGTGGTTCCTAACACCTCTTCATAAAAAGAGAAGCATACGTATCGCTGTGTTAAATAATTTAACCTGTCCCCCGTTTATGAAATTGACACGAGAGTCGCAATACGATTGAATCTAATCAAGCTCGTTACTCACTTCTTTCACCATGCCGACCATCAGGCACTTCTGGAAGCGACAAAATTGACAACGGTTCCGTCGACGTTTGTCCACCGGACAAGCTTTCTCTGCCAGGCACACGTATTTCGATCCCTTCTGTACGGTCCGTTTGAAGAATCCCTTACAACCCTCGCAGGTACGCACACCGTAATGTTGACACGCCGCTGTATCGCCACAAACGGCGCAAAGTTGGCTGGGGCTCGGTGGTGCCCGATCGTTGCTGGTTCCGCTACCGGGTGACGGAGTGCTCACGGTACTTCCATTTCCGCCGCGCCCCTTCGGTGATTCTGTGCTGCCACTATTGATAACCGAAACCACGTTCAACTTGTAATTAAAAGATCTAAATTTTCATAAACATGTATTCTCACAAATTACTTTGTAACGAAACTGTACAGCCTCTTTAAATTAATAAAAAAAAAACACAAAGCTATAACCGTGAAATAATTATTTAATCGATAATCAATCACTGAGGAAGTTGTAAACATTCGTATAAAAATGTACATGTAGACTTTGACCTCTCAGTTGTCTTATAAAAAAAGCAAGCAGGAAACGGGTAATAATTAACATGAAAGAATCAATAATCTCTCGTATTATAAAAACCAAGGTTCATTATACATATATTACCTCACAGACTCTGACCTCTGCGTGGGCAGGGACGCCCGCCGTGACCGAGGTGTCCCCACAACCACGTTGTCGACGTTGGGATAAATGTCCGTCGTTGCAAGAGGGGTGGCACCGCCGGTGATGGTCGACGGTGGTCCATATACCATGGGTACACTGACCGCAGCGCTGTACGGTGAATTTTGTCGGTGATTCGACGGTGGTGGAACGGTCGTGGTTGGCGTGGGTGCCGACTCGGTCGCGAAATAACCCTGGTGATGGTGATGATGATGATGTTGCTGTTGCGGCGGTGGCGGCGCCGGTTGCTGCTGCTGAGGATGGTGATGAGGATGGTGTTGCTGCGGTTGCTGTTGGTGCTCGTGGTAGGGCATCGAGGGCGAGAACTCGGTGGTATAGTGGGCAGGTACGCAGGGATAAACCGGGTTGTCGTAACATTCGCTCTCGTCCATTTTTATGCCGAGAACCTGAAGCTCCTGTCTGGTGTATCGTTGAGCCGTGTAAGTCTCTTGGAAGCTCGGCAAGGGTGTTGAGCTGCGGAGATCAAACAGTATTAAATGTCAACGGACCGTGCCGCGCCATCGACTCGTTCGAACGAAATGCCAGCGATGATTTTTTCCCGCGAGCTACCGAGGATGATCGTTAAACCGCACAATGAAAACATGCAATCCTGAATGCCTGAAATGCAAGCGGATTCACAGGCGTCCACCGTCTATGATTTATTCTTTACCTATCCAGCGGATCTACGATTCTATCTGTGAAAGGTGAAATGCAGGTTGAAAACAATGAGCTGTACCTAAGCGAATCTGGTTGTACGTCCTCGGGGAGAGGAGCTGCCGTCGGGGGCGGTTGCGGTGCTTGCTGATGATGCACCGTCTGCTGTGCTTGAGCAGCCGATTCCTCAGCCGTAGGTACTCCTTGCGGATTACCCAGCTGCAGTTCCGGAAATGGGTCTAGCTCTTCCGGCAGACTTCCCGCATCCGCGGAGTCCGTGTACGATGCGCTCAACAAATCCGCCAGAGTACTACATCCGAAAGGGCTCTGAAAAATTCCCATCGAACTCCGTTTCGATCATTTGTAACAGATCACAGTTGATCATTTAAACTCGCGATTTGTAAGAAATAAATCGAATCTACATTATAGCCCTGATACGTTTTTAGCCGTGTATAAAAACTTCAAACGATTACACATTGAACACTGACGATTCACCAATCGTCGATCGATTAGATTCGTGGATGTTCAGTCGTGGGATCACCGTTTTGTACAAGAAAATAGTTATTCACTTTTTGTTGTTCCTACAAAGTCGGACAACATCGGAGAACCGGCACGAATGGCAAATCGAACTACCCGACTGCAAGGCGGAAACATTGTTCGACCACAATTGCAAGCCGTGTCGAGACATCGATGTACAGTTGAGGTGCGCAGTGAGGATGTCGGAGAGGATTGGCGAAGCGGACTCTTGTATCGCGTGTTGTCTATAACTCGTTGCACAGACATCGCGGAGATTTCTACCACGTTAAGTCGAATCGATTAACTTCCTTCTATCAACTCTAAAGTCATCGCACTCTACTGTGCACACATCCTTCAACGCGATACTCGACGTCAATCTCTCGAATCTTTATCTCCGATGATTATCAATTGACATTCCGTATGAAGACGTTAACTTTAACACGTTGACATCGGTTAAACGAAAATCCATGTTAGTAAGAAGAAGCGTGTAATTAAAGCAACAAATTGATTGTCTGCAAGGAAACATAGTTCAACGAGGGAAGAACAGTATAGGCGAAGCGAAGGCGCAGAAGAACATCTGTCGAGGTGACAACGGAAGGATATCAGCGCGAGGTAAGAAGGATGGGGTTGGATATTCAATTTGCCAGGTTGGTTCCGCTTCTGAGCTGACATTTCGTTCATCGGTCCCTCGAGGACCGACGATCGAAGCCTCGGTCCGCCGTAATTCCGACTACGGCCTTCTAAACGGCCTCCTGATAACGTTCACCCTCCCTTCAGCCCATCCTGGCTTCTTCAAGCAATTATGACGGCATAGATGCGTGACCGCGTGCCGTGTCTTTATGTAAAACATGTGATATCGTCGAACGGATAACCAGACCACTAGTCGCTCAATTAACCGCGGCGAACATCGGAGTTGATTTCTGAAAAGTTTTTCCGCGACGTACGTATGGGAAGGGATAGAAACAGGTAGGACGACACTCGAGATCCGGGTACGTGGGCAGGAATGCAGATGGTGTGCGATAAGCGAGTGAGATGACGATCGAGAACGCTGAGACGTAGGAGGGCAGATCACGCTGCAGGTCGAGCAACGCTTGGGGAGTTCGAAGACCAACGGGACAGATAAGATAGAGAAATAGTGAAAGTCTTGCGAGCCTGATCGCCCCACTAAATACGATTTTCGATAATTACAAGCTGCACGAGGTTCGAGTGAATTCCGTTCGCGCCGAGGAATGCGGATTATAATTACCGTTTACCGTGTCTTATGCCTTGTAAAAGACGAAAATTGAATATAACAGGAACTGAATTAGCTTGATATAGATTTAATTAGTTTTCTAATGCATAGTGTAATACGTAAGGCATTAAATCTTGTAAGGCAATTTTGAAGAATAACGAGAAAAGCTTCATCATCGATTACATGGTGTCAGGAGTAATGTCATCTAAAGGGTCCGTCGCTGACCCGATTATGCTTTACAGGAAGGAATAAAGAGGAGAGATTCATATGAATCCGGAAGCTATTTTACCAACCTGCGTCTGTAACAGAAGCATACTTGAAGCTACCGTAAACGCGGTGGTTGTCGTGGTTGTCGATGAGTGATTCGTGCAGGCGAGAACCGGAACGGTAGCTGCCGTCTGCCGTTGCTGCCGCTGGCGATGTGGCTGTTGCTGTTGTTCTACGTCGTTACGCGTAATAGCCACCGCACGTTGGCTACCGTTGCTGTTATCGCTGTCGCCGTTCGGCGAATGCAGCTGCCCTGCAACAGAACACGACAGAACCCTGAGGATGCAGTTCCAATATGTTCTTCGGGATCCCACTGTTCAAATTCCTCTGACTTAAAACCCTTACGATCTCATATTAAAATCAACACTGCGTACCGACGCGTTGGTTTCTCTTTTCTTTTAACGTTACGACAATGTTCGTCGCTATTGAGAGTACTGTTCCAATATGATGTGACGTTCGGTTTAAAACTATTGTTCGCGATGGAACAAAGAGGGATGAGGAACGTAACTTTCCGACATAGATTCTGCGCAATGACGCGCTGAATGTACGCGTTAGACTATTTCTGTTCCTGAGCAAGATAATACCATGATCGCTTCTTTTCTTCGCGTAAAGCGTGACCAGAGAATTAACTGTTACGTACAATATCTGCGATATTGAGAGTGACCGCTGTCCATGGTGATCATCTCTACGATCAAATTAGTTATAATTCAACCTGAACGAATTGTCGTGAACTCGATAGGTGCGTGAATCAATTGTCAATAGTACGAGTTAATTTCGACCATCAGGCCGAGGATGATCTAGTAACCAATAAAATTCGTCTATCACTTTTACTTGTTTCTGATTTTCTAATTCGACATTACTCGCTTTAACGCGTTGTTATCACTGTCTAGCTGGGTCCGACTTTACTAGCCGTCGAATTCTCGCCGTTGACTGAGGTCTTCGACGTCGGCGTTTCTTCCTATATAGGGTGGCTTCGGCACCCCGGGGAGACATGAAATCATTGGCATTTAAAATACTACCCAGCCCTTTCTACACAGACAACCACCGTACCCTCTGCTAGATTATTATTACACGATATTATCCCCAACGCCCGGGGGATGGTGATGTACCCGTTAGCGAAGAGATCCTCCTTTTTAGACTTTATTGGCGAAACAAAGTCTGGACGGTATAAAATGAAACAATATATCTGCAGACGTTTTTTAGATATTTAGTATCTGTTCTTTTTTAATTTCGTAAATGATAAAGAAAAGAGAAATGGCATTGAAATTGATAGATCATGTAAGACGAACAGATGTGCCCCGTCCAACCCTTCGGCTCGAGATACGAAGCGAAGATAGTCATGGTCATCTGAGCCACCGATTTAATTCAATTCCGCAATGTTCGTGAGAGGACCACCCCGTGGTTTTCACGCCGTAAAATATAAACATACCGTACCCTGTGCTCGCGAGACTCTCCATCTAAACAGGCATTAATCGGAGAAGAGTGCGGAGGGTGTGACGCGATTTGACACGATAGTGACACCGTTATAGCGAATTAAAACTGAATACACGAGAGTCTGAAGATAACTATCTATGTAAATGTAGATGCCATCGAATCTACAAAGTCATAAATTGAAACACAGCTACATAAATCGATTCAGTCAGAAGTCTGTCATTACCCAACGAAAAGTCATAAACGTCCTCTCTCTCTCTCTCTCCCCGTTTGTATCTCCTGAAATCTTTAACCTTTCTCCTTTTGCCGTGTCGTATTTCAACCAGTGCAAGGTGGTTACTGCGGCAATTAAGACAACTTGATCCAAAACAATGAATCCTATCAGACACCGGTGATCAGCGAGTTCAGGACGAAGAGGCACGAGTGGAACCGATACCACCTACGGGAGCGCATACTAGAGGAAACGGCGACTGCACCTGAGCAACGGTGCACGTGTACGGAAGGACTCGATTAACTTCTACAAACGCTAACACCGACAACAGCACCTCAGGCAGGGTAGAGGCAGAGGCGGCCGGAGGTAGGGTAGCGAGAACAGACACGAGGAGAGTAGGGTTAACCGAAGAGCGTGTGCCAAGTGGATTATACCGGTGTACACGGGCCCTCCCACGAACCACGCCTCTCCACGTGCCACCACGTGCAGCCACGGCGCGCACCGCGCCACTTGCTCCTTGCCGTACCTCGTCGATTTGCTCTCATGAATTAACCACTCGTTCCTTTCCTTCTCCGATCTGCCACTTCCTTCACTTCCTCGTTCTCCACGCGTGCCTCTCGGTACTAAACTTGCGCCAGCTTCGACGAACTTTCGAAGAATATCGGCGAGCATTTAGGTATCCGCGAATGATAGTAGCGAACAACGTTTGCGCTTCGCAGCTAATTCATTGCGCAATTAAACCGGAATCTCGCAAATTAAAAAATTGCGAAAGGGATAGGAGGCTCGCATAGTCTGACGAGAAGTTCACCAGCGCGTTACGCGTTCCATGTTGTCAGGCGCGAATATGAAATTTTGTTTAGCTCTTTTTACCTGCGCGGAATGACTCGCGTGCCTAGCCGAGGAAAAAACTTGTCCGTAGAAAATAACGTCATCATCGAGTGCATTCACCACGATTAACTATCGGATTCTTATAAATTGCGGACTAATTGCAACGATCCGCTTGCCACGTGCTTTCATTTTATGCATACCCAGGATAATTGATATCCTTCATGAATAATTTATCGCGCCGGCAACGTTTCTTCTCTAAAGCGACGCGTATGAGAAAAACGGCGGCCATTAGAGGAAAAGGAGACGCACAGATAGGGAGAGGAGGAAGACGAGAAAGAGAGGCGCTATTAATAGACGCGTACAGCAAGTACCGGGACTTTCGTTCGTTGTCCGTTACCTTCGAGAATCGTTATATTGCCGATCAATCGACGCGTCTTTTATCCAGACACATTGAACAACGTCGGGGACCGCGGTGGTGGGTGCGCGTGCGTGTGCGTGTGCGAGAGAAAGTAGGACCTGATCGTGTCTCTCGCGGCCGTATGCGACACATAATCGTGCACCGAGATATCTTCGATTTAAAGCTCGCATCGGCTCGTTTCGCCCACACGAGTCGCGCGTCTCACCGGTTGGACAATCGTAATTAACCCTTTCACTGCTAAGTAAGGACAGTCCTGTTCTGGCTTGTTCCTGTCCTGTCGTTCACTTGTTTCTGTTCGCTGCCGTTTCGGATTTTAAACCGCCTGCAAAAAGGTTTCTTTCGGTCTCTTTAGGACAACATTTTTATTGGAAGCTTTGTTGTTTAATGTTAATTAAAATAAATATAAGTGGAAGAGCGATATTTGATTTCTGGGAATTTGCGAATCTTAGCAATGTGGGATAAGATAATGTGTCATGTACTAGTGAGATCAGTGGAAGGACCGATGAATCGAGCATAAATTAATTTGAAAGCAAGGAACGAGGGAGTGCAAAACTGGTCCGACGCGTGCACTCGGTGCAGCTTTCTCTTTCGTTAAATTTAGTGAAAGATTGATGACATCGTAATCAGCATTAGGTACTGCGAGTTCCTAGTCATCTCCTCGTCGCATCCGTCCTTTCTTCGAGACGCTGATACGTTATTTATCCTCGTTTACCTCCGTTCTCGAGTAAAGCTAATTAGCGGTCTATTCACTAGGATCGAATTATCGCCTGGCTCGTAATTCGTCAAACACAGTGAACTCCGTGTCGATGAAAAACGGATCAAAAGGAGAGAAGCTAAACACCGGGGACGTTAATCGGTTCATCAAACACTCGTGGCGTGAAATGTATTCTACAAGAATTTACCTTTTCCATTTAAACATTTCACTGTGCAATCTCAACTAAACCGTATTTTCTATTCTACGTCCGTCGGTATTATCAGTGCCTGAACTTATGGTACAGTTAAGAATCCTATCTGCAATTCGCCGAGTTTGATATCAACGCTTCGCGAACGCAATTCGCCGATCGACGAGCCGCGGCGAGAATAGCGAAATCACGCGCTGTGGAGGAGAGAAGAAACACGATTTGTATCACGGATCCGTGAAAGCAGGACCAGGAAAGCGAGCCTGGAAACAAATTGTCCAGATACCCTGGAAAGATTAGATACGTTCCCGGTGGATTAACCTCTCCCAATAAAATGCTGGCTAGCTCATAGCAACGGCCAATAAGAATACAAAGGCGCCGTTCCAGACGCTCGCGACTAGCTCGCGAGCTACTCGCGAGCGACTCGCGGGTTAGAGTGCGGTGTCGAACGAGGTGAAAGAGAAGCTTCGACACGGATTAGCGCGCGGGGGAGAAACAGAGGGAGAGAGACAGACAGAGAAAGAGAGAGGGAGGATACGCTTGCGACACGCAGGCTCTAGCAAGCTGGCTGATAGGTAGAGGTACTGTAGGTAGGTAGTGTATATCGCCCCCTGACCCCGAAGAACTACCGTGAGACCGGCTTAACTCCGGTCGCGGAGCACTCTCCTTTGCTCTCTCGGCGTGCACCGCCGCGTATGCACACAAGCGCGCGCGTTGCACATGCACGCGTGTGCACAGGCCAGACGTCGTCGTGGAATAAAGAATTGGGAAGGGTACCGTGAGCCGTGACACGACCGAGGAAGAGGAGGAGGAGGAGGAGAAAAAAAAGAAGAAGAAGAAGCAGAAGAAAGATAGTGGAGAATAGGAGAAGAGAAGGGAACGACACGGCGAAGGATGTGTGACTCGTGGGTGCAGCTGCAATGCGGCCCGGCTGCATTCAGTGGCACACACAGGACGACGACGGCTGGGCTTTTCGATGGCACGCCAGGATTATCCCGGCTTGCCATGGAATGACATTTCGTAATCGCCGCAAGCACGATACCAGCACACGAGGATTCTTATCCTCGCTAGTGAGTGGATTTGTCTTTTATACATACAATTCTTCGTGCTGCACTTTTCTTCGTACATTTTAAGGAACTGGTGATTAGAGAACGATTGAACGTAGGACAATTCTTATCGCTTTATAGAGGAAGCGTGTAATTAGGTACTTGGATAAGTCGTTTTCCAAATACAATCTGACGATAGTTGAATTGCATGACGACTGATGAGAGGAAATATAAAAATACAAGTTCTCATGGAGTTTAATGACTTTTGAATATCCCCGATTGCTAATCATACGATAGGAGAAAGTATCCGCAACCGTCACTCGTGTTGGAGGACGCTTCCAGGCACACGACAGAATCGGCGAATCGCATATGTATCATATTCAAACGACGGTTTAACAGTCACCCTGTATAGCCAGGGGA